TCCAACATAAATGTTTCAAGTTGTTTTTCCAGTCATGACAGACTTTTAGTGAAATACTCTGGACTGGCTTGTCCTTTTTTCCTTCACAAACACCACCAACAAAAAAAATATTTTAGGACCTTCTGCTTGGTGAAACACAAAGGGAAGCCCCCTACTTGGCTGAACTGGGGACTCTCATCACTATGCATACTGACACTTTGTGGCCAATTGAAATCAAATGTCTGAAGAAGCAATGACCCATAACCCTTGCATACCTGAGACGTTACCCTGTCCCACATACTCCAAGACATCATAGCCTATGAATCATTCCAAAACTGCTGCAACTTTCAATTCAACATATTGCAGTAAACCAAAAGCAAGTCAATAAAGGACACTAGCACGCAGAAGTTGACTAGTCAAGTGGTCAGGTGTTCCTGCTTCAGAGGCATTAGGATCCATCACAGATGAACAGGCAGGTTGGAGAAGGTAAAGGCTTTGATGTTCCAATGTTAAATCACCATAAATGGCTCTAAATGCTAAATATCCAAGCACTGGTAAAACAGGCTCCTCTTGGTAGCTCCCTAAGCACTCCAGAACCAAAATAAAGAGGAAAAAAACATATATCCTGCATCAGACTAAAGGCTTCCTCCTCAGAACCAGCTCAATATTATATTTTAAGATGTTCAATAAGTGGAGTATGAAGTTCTTACAGAAATTATTCTCTTCAACAGAAGAGTGTAGCTATGCACTGTAAATGAAGGTATGTACTCAGGAAGATAATTAAAACAAGGGGTTTACTCTGTGACATCCTCTTGTTTTTGTTGAAAGGAACATTTCGACCACCATAAAATGCCAGTTAATTTCTGCGAACAAGGTAACTTTCTTCTATCTTGCAAGACCATAGTAAATTGACAATTAATCAGCTGTGGTAATTATCTGAAAGCCTATCATCCTTAACAGCCATACTTTGTCTTAAGCAACCAACAGTCATTGCTGTATTAGTCTGAAGTGGCATAGTCTAGTTACCAAACACACCACCACCATCCAACATGTTTGCCTTTAACTGCACTCTTTCAGATGTTTTTATTCAGATTCACAATGCACATAAGCCTCTCTTTGTTAAAAGGCCCTTCTGTATCCAAAGAAAATTATGCCTTAGGCAACTACAAGCTACAGAATTAGACAGCTTTCTCTACAGAAAACTTTTTCTGAATCCCAACGTTGTTACATGTAATATCTCTCAGCTGTATTACATGACATTTTCTTGTTTCTATTTTATATAAAAGATGTGCAAGTTGATAAAGAGATTACACTAAACTCTATATATCTGAACTTGAACTTAAGATCTTATTTAACCTTTGTATAGATTTTAAACAGGATAACAAGATTTGGGTTATCCCTAGTTCTACCCAGACAAACAAGAAAACAAGAAAAACCAAGAAGAAGGAGGTCAAATGAATCGGAGACTGCTGAAATTGAAAAATGAATTTCACTTCATTAAGTGTTTTTTTTCAACTAAAAACTACATTGATGTTGGAAAGTTAATTCACTATAGATCTCTGAGAATGCTCTCCATATTACCACATAGCTGTATCAGACAACACAGAAACCTTTCACACTAACACTTACCCTAAAGCCATTATAAAATACACAACGCCAAAAATGAGCATTAGTAAGACCACTAAAGGAGAAAAAAAGTGGTTCTTCATTTATGCTGATAGATATACAAAATAAATACATGTAACAGCTGGAAATAGGGTAAAAAAATGATGCAATGACATTCAGCTTGTATTTATTTCTGTAAGCTTTGTAAATTTTTTTACATTTCAACAACTGCTCATGTGTAAAGACACATACAGGCCACTGAAAGGGATTCACAAATATTACAGTGAAACAGACTAATTCATGCAAGCAGCAACATGGACTACTACAGAGTATTTATCAACCCATAAAATCCATATTTTGTTTAAGTCTGTATGTCATTAGGTATCTTTAGGATAAGTTTAAATTTACCCAAGGAGGAATACAGCTCAAAGCACTTAACAACTGCAACATACAAAAGAAGAAATCTGCCGGGGGGAAGTGGGATAAAATCTGTTCAAAGTTAAACACATTATTTTTTTTTAATTGTAGTAGCCAGAATCTGTTTTGTTTGAGGTCACAAAATGTAAAAACAGCATATTAAATTTTGTGATTACTAACGAAGAAAGGTCTATCCAGAAATGTAGCAAGCTCTCCCAAATCAAAAGCAAAGCCAGGATGCACAAATGACAACATAACCTTTTTGGAAGATGAAGCACTTTGTTTTCACAGCAACTAAGTTCTTAATTCTCATTAAGCAGTTATTTCATGCACTAAACATACAGCACCATTAAAATAGCCACACATCTACCCACAAACAAAATGTAACATCAAGCCCCATTCTGAAAACTATGCAGTTCAAGCACACATTTGCTTTCTCCACTTGACATGGATGTTTGCTACAGCCTTGTGCCAACTACAACTTTTAGCTTGGAAAGTTACAGTGCTCAACTAGAGTCACAGGACTCAGACTTGATCCTCACTGCCAACAACCCACTCTAAAGTGCCAATTACATTCAAGGTTGTCAAGGGCAAGTACAGTATAAACTCAACATAAAACAAATTAACAGAATAATTTTCTCACCTCCAATTGTACTTTCCTGAAACTCATGAAACTGTCCTTTTACAAAACGAAGCACCAAACTTGATTTGCCAACTGCAGACTCTCCTAAAAGTACTAGTTTGAACTGGCAGATTTTATTTCCAGCATTTGGCCCATTGGGTCTTGTTGCTCCTCGATTAGCCATGCCCAAATTAGAAATAAGTCCTTTGTTTCAAGTTCTTGAAAGCAAGTTCCAGGATTCAGATCTCAGTGGTGCTTCTGCCAGTAACAACCTGTTTATGAAAAGACAGTGGGGTGGTATCAGTTTTACAAAACAAGTAAGAAAAAGATCTAATTCACTAATGCAGCATGGATTACCTATAACTTGTCCTAATATTTACCAAAGTCAACAGTCCACAGTACAACTACCATCACTGTTAAGATGACAACAGTAGACAGAATCTGTGACAAATGAACCAGTTATCTTCTTTAATAACCAGTCTTCCCATTAAAGCTTCAAATTAGGATATTAAAATCCAGTTATGATTCTTCTTGCAAGACTTCAGCCTCTTAACATATCAAGATTGAAATATAACACAACAGATTTGGACTTTCACATTATCAGTAAAATATCAACTGACAAGAAATGCTATTTTTTTCCCATAGTTTTGCTATTGTTAAGCAATATTCTGAAGACAGTACCACTAAAGGATGCTACAAAATTGAGCGAATTGGGAAAACTCCATCACCACATCAAGTTCTTTGCTATTCACTTCTATCATGTATCAAATGCAATCTCCTTAAATAAAAGCACAGATCTTGATGTACAAATCATTAATACATTCTCTAGTTAGCAACTGTACTTTGAGAAGGAAAAATACAAAGCCTTCCATATGTAGAAAAATGGACTGTCTTGACTGATAAGAATTCCAGATCACTTTGTGCAAACCACCAGAGAACTACCATGTGATGATAAATTGCTACTTCCTATACCAGCACATGTCCAGGCAGATCAATATTCGCAACAGACATCTTTGTTGTACAAAGCTGAACTGGTACGAACAGTGTATTCCTTAGAATACCTGTTCTTCTTTCAAACTCCTTAAAATCACAATATTTACTCATGTGGACGCAGAAGCCTTTAGCTGATTTCTCCTGGTATCACTTCTAAGATTTATGCTTTTACACACTGAACAGCAGACTAAAACTTTTCACAGATAGGCATTGCTGTATGAAAGACTGGCATAATTTTCTGTATTCTCTTTCCTCCCAGTTCCCAAAAAATTCCAAATAACACCACAGGAAATATACCTAAGTGATGGTTACTCAACTCTCTGAGAAAAACATCTGCTTCTATATTTCTGCTAAAAAAAAAACCAAACACCAAACCAAAAACCAGCCTTTAACTTTGTCCTACTCAGTTGATTATCTACTCGAATTGTGCACACTTTATGGGGATACTGCTTTTCTAGTATCTAGACTGCAAGTTAGTTTAGAGCATATTCTCCTAATGCAAAATATGGCTTTAATACATATGTCGTAAAGAGGTAAGCAAACCTACTACTTTCAAATTACTTCTCACTCTTTCTTCCTCCTGGTAAAGCAACTACATTTTAAACCAAGCAGTAGTCTTTAGCCATCTTCCCATTTCAAACCACTTGGCACATATACGAGGCATCTGAGCATTCCAGTTCGCTACAGACCTAGCTCAGACACTCAGCCTGCATTCTCCTTCCTAACTCTCCCTTTTGTAAACTCAAGTACTGAAGAAACTTCTTTCCAGAAAAGTGCTTCTAGCACTCTAGCAGAACCTCATCCTCCACTAAGATACTCCCTTATAGACTAATTTCCATGCATTAAACGAGAAAGATATCTTCGCATTATTTATTCACTAACAGTTGAAAAACTGGTATTTTTCTCAAAGAACTTGAATACAGGTCTCAGAAAAAAAATATTTGCAACATCTGACAGACTCCTATTTGCTCATGTTGCTCATTTTCCCATACCTCTCAAAATAATTTAGCTTCTTCCAAGTAGAATATTCCAATCATGTACTCATCCCTGCCTGACCTGAGTTTGTGTCCTGTTTGACTATTATGATATCCTTACATTGAAATATTTTTTTTTTAGTTGCACAACATGATCTAATATCAAGTCTTCGATGTATGTTCTTACAAACATGTGAAAGTGTACCGCAGTGAAAGAATGTTTCGATGAAGCAAAAAAGACCCTGCATACCCCACCACCATTATTATTAAGCACCAGGAACATTACAAACTAAAATTCTTACTCATTAATTTTGGTTATGTATTTTAGAATGCAGGAATGGATCCAGTTATTTTAAAAATACCAGACCTTTCATCCTTCCAGCACAAAACAACTCATGTACAGCTGGTGTGTTGGTTCTCAGGCAAGACTCTTCCGCCTCCAGATGTGCTGCTGAAATACACTTTTGAAGTTGTGGAATAATTTGGATAAAAATGGGTAAGTGACAACAGTTAATCTCTCCCTAATTATACTACAAAAGAGAAAGCAGCAAGGCATAGCCAAAATATAGGTATCTTAGAACACTGTTAGCCATTTGTTTATTTTCTCCTTTGGAAAAGTAATGGAGACAATTAAGTTATTCCTGTTTTAAAATTAAATGCAACTGTTTGCTGTAGCATTCTAGTGCATTTGGACAACCATGAAATCATTTAAATCCCTTTAATCTTAACTCATTCCAAATTTTTCTAGACTCTGCAGAATTAATAAACATCTAAGAACTACATCCAATGACCACATGAGTTAGCACTCTGGAGGAAGTGACTTCTAGGTGACACACAGAAAGGAAATCAATCCACTACAGTGTTTACTCCCCATGACTGATTTTTTGCTTGCTGTTTCCCACACTGAGGGCAAAAGGAGGTACGGTAGAAAAACAGGCAAGCCTGATTTAACTTGTGTAATATCTGTTTGCTTCAATTGGCCATTTACAGCTTTCAGTTATTCAGATTTGTATCACTTACAAAACAGTAATTACTACCCCTTGCAAAACTCCTTCAGAACCCAAAGCTGAAACAGGTTATCAAGAAAAATACCTAACTGAATTTTTATAGATGCCTAAGCCACAGAAGCTGTAGTTATTTAAGAACTTACAACAACCTCACAACACTCCTCACCAGAACTCATTCTAGACATTCAGGTAACGTACAAAAATAACCAGCAGTCAAGCTGACAGAGATGACACCACCTGAGTGGAAGACCATCAAGTCCCAGAAACATACCACAAACATCATTCATTCACTGGTTGATATATCCAAAACTTCATAATAAAACCACTACAGTCATACCACCCACTTTGTAACAGCTTGGGATAAAAAAGGGCAAGACTGATAATCTGATAGAGAACATACAGATGATTTTGATATATTAAAAAAGTTACTAATACCTTCTGTAAGTGTATATGGAAATAACCTTCTTTTGAACTTTCAGATAGTGAAACTGTTCAGTAAATTCACAATATGGCAACATACAAACACAAAATGAGGAAAGTATTTTCTTAATCTGAAGAGAAGCAGTACTACAGTTTAACATAGCCATTACAGAATGTTTCTGGCCTGTTCTTTTCACATTTGTGTGTTCTGAACACAGTGCCTCGACAAGGATTTAAAAGCAAATTTCAATGCTACAGACCCCATGCATTCTCCAAGCCTCAGGCCACAATCATTCTCCAGTTCCTTAAGCCATCTGTAAAACACTAGCTTTGAGAACCATAAAAAAAAAAAAAAGCACCACACAAGAGAGAAAAACTACATTCAGTACCCTACACACACACACTGCAAATTCAAGTCTTCTTTGACAAATCACTTTCAAGACAATTCTGAAAACTTATTTCAAGGGTGTAGCAGCCATTCCTGGTTTTCACCCTTAGGTTTAGTGCAAATTTCCAGGAAAGACCCACTAATATTTCCCCCCTCCCCCAGTTTTTGTATGCTAAGCAAACTTTGTAACCAGTATGTTTGGAACATGTTAAGAAAACATTAAGACATTTTCATTCATCTGCACAAAAGCAAGTACATCATTGTTTGACTGGAAACTGATACTTATGGAAGTTACGTAAAGGAATTACTTATATAAAAACCTGCTGAGGAAAATACTATGAAAGTTTCTTTGATGGATGGCTTCATATGGATAGAAATAAGGGAGATTTTCTTATGTTTATGGAGTTTAATGTGAGAACTCCATCATATATTAAAAAGCAAGGCCCACTTTGCATTCTCAGGCACTGCAAATACACAGGTCCTTCTGCTAAGTAGAAACTTTCACCCTTCTGGTGAATATCCCCCAAAGGCACAGCAGCTCCATGCTGAAATGCCAAAACAAAGTCTGCAGCATATTATTAGGAGAGTACTCCAGTTAATCCTACCAAGTAATTGACCAGATGCTGAGTATTCTCACCACTCTAGAAGATAAACTTACATGCTGCAAGACAGTCTTTGTTAATGACTTTAATTTATGGAAGAGTCATAAGTGATTTAATAGATCACCACAGAAATTATGTTTGAGTCTGTATGCAAAAAAAAACAACAGTCCTAGCCAATACCTATAAACTCACAATTTAATGGCATAATTCAGTCATGTAAGCATTTAAAATCAGTGCCTATTTTAAACTACAAGAAAGCCAATACAGAAGTATCAAAATAACACTAGTGACAAAGGCCAGCCTACTGAAGAGATTAAGACAGCTAACACTGTTCCTACAATCAAATACAAAGACCACAACAAAAATTCACCGTAAATTTAAAACTGGAACATTCCACCACTTTCATCTTTCTGAGCAAATGACAGTGTTTCTTACCATGAACACACATACTACTGTAGTAATTTCTAATCAACTTTTTCACACTTTGTGAATAGAGACAGATCATGCAATACAGAGGTTGCAACCATTATTTACTTCAAATTTGCTTATCCTGGACTATCTTAAGTGTTTTAAAAAGCAGTATCTAAAAAGCCTTATTTGTTACGCACTTCTACTAACCAAGCTTTTTGTTATTCCCTTCCAGGTTTGGCAGAATTAGTGTGGCATCTTACTGCAGCGTTCAAGACAGTGATATGTACAACTATCAAAATGCCTGTCCCATGTAATATTATATGCTTTATATTGAAGCATAATGAGACAGTATATTAAACACGTGGATCAATGCAGTCACTGCAAAAAAAAATCACAGCCTTCCAATTAAAGATAATAACCGTCTCTCAAAGTCATATGAATGATGTATAGTACCCACCGATTTCAGATAAACCGGTTTATCATACAGGGAACGTGAAATGGCAAGAAGCAATGATAGTACAGTCATCATTGCTTACTTAACCAACATCTACTTTTTTTCTGACATTTCTTATCACAGAATAACACCACACACATGCAATTTAGCCTGCCTGCAACTCTGAAAACTCACTACCAAATTGGAAAAAACAAAGGTGCCATGTTTTTTACTTGGTCTGAACATTATGAGGAAGAAGCTGATTAATTTCAGCTGCTTAATTAGCTGTTCAGCCTCTCTTTTGCATCACCAGGCTCTGAAAGAGACATAAGGTAAGAAAAAAAAAAAAAATCATTAAAAATCCTGACAGAATAGCCCTTCATGGTCCTATTGTTTGCAGGATTTTGATCGTTCTTAAACAGTTCAGCTGTCCTCTAAAACGTAAGAGGGCCCAGGTTTGTTCCTCCACCGTACTCTGGCCTTACATCCAGTCCCGTGTAGAGCGTACCCAGTAGGCCAGGCCCATCGCAATCCCCCGGATGGCGACGTGCTGTCCGAGTCTTTTACTTCCTACCTTTCCCACCGTTCCTCCTCCAGCCGCAAGCGAAAGGGAAAGCGAGGGGCCCAGCACCCAGCCTCCCCTTCCACAGCTCACGGGCAACGCGAAGGGAACAACCCAGCCCCGGCGGCCGGGACCTCGCTGCAGGAGAGCCCGCACGCAGGGCCGGATCCACCGGCCCCAGCCCCTCCACCTCCCCCCCCCCCCCCCCCCCCCCGCGGCTCCCTTCCAGGCACGGGAATAAGGGGAAGTGGGAAAACCGGGGCGCCATTTTGAGACGGGAAAGGGAGAGACCAGCCTCTCCTTCCCGCCCGCCGGGCCGCCCGCCTCGGCAGCCCGCGCCAGGGCCCCGCGCCCCCCGCAGGGCGGAGAGGCGGCCGCCGGCAGCCGCCCCAACAACCGAAGCCCCCCCGGCCCCGGCCCCGGCCCCGGCCCCTCACCTGGCCGGGCCGCGGGGGAGGGGAAGAGGGGGAGCCGAGCGGCGGCGCAGCGACGTCTGTCCGTCCGTCCGTCCGTCCGGTGAGCCCGTGCGGGGTGGGCGGGCGGAGAAGGAGGAGGGGGGGTGGTGGTGGTGGGGGGGGAAGGGATGCGGCTCGCTCGGCGGGGTGGGGGCGAGGGGCGGGGGCGCAGCCGTGCCGCGCCCAGCCCAGCCCAGCCCGCCGCCGACTTCCGCCGCCGCTGCCCCGACCAAAACACGCACGCACACACACACGCACGCAGCCACACGTACTTCCGCCGCCACTACGTCACGGCCCGCACGCGACATGAGCTTCCGGTTCGCCCGCGCGTCACGTGATTTCCTTTATTTTTCCCACCACCACTTTCCCCCCCTTCCTCTTTTTGATTCCTTTCCCTCCCCCTCGTCCCCCCTCCGGGGGGGTGTGTGAGGGGGCGGGCGGTCGTTACCATGGCAACTTGGAGTTGAGGGGGGCCTGGATGCCCTTCCATACCTCCCCTCCCATACCTCCCTTCTTATCCCCCTGTCCGTGCAACTGCAATTGGGAATGTACCTAACTTGAAAAAATTGAACACCCAGCGGTAAAGCCTTAGGCATAGGCTTATTATTGGGAGAGTGCTAAAACTTAAGAGGGCAGGTTGCTGACACAGAACAAGTCTTGATGGCTCAGTAGCGGGGTACATGCAGTCTGACTTAATACACGCAAATACTAAATGGCACACCTTGCTCTGGAGGTTGTAGGACATACATCGTCGGTTTTCTGTATTATGGCTGTACTTCGTGAAGCCTTTGTAATCCTCTGTGTCTTTTGTGTTGATAAGTGAGGAAGAATGCTGAAAAATTTGAGGATAATTCAGGGATGGCCTTTAAGAATAACTAAAAGACTGGAAAATACTCCTTGTGCTGGAAGATGCGAAGAACTGCTGGCCCTGTAAAACAGAAGCGTAAGGGTCACTTGGTCACAGACTGGGCTTTATAGGAAACAAAAGAGTGATTATAAGTGTTTCTTCAGTCTAGCAGATTTAACGAGGTCTAATAGTTGGCATTTGAAAGAAATAAAAAACAGAACCAGTAAGACATTTAATAAGTTTATCAATAATGGTATTTAATCATTGGTACAATTTAATGAAGGTTGTTTAGATACTCCATTACTGGAAATACTGAATCAAGATTTGATGTTGCTATCTTCTCAAAATATGCTTTAGGTCAATCACATGTATTTAATTGAAGCAAAAATTAAGTCAGGGAAAGCCTGTGGCCAGTGTTATACTAGAGCTGAGGCTCCATTATGCCATTCATTCATAAAATATATGCATTTAGTATTAGTTGTCCAGTCAGTCCTCTTGCCAATGCAGGTTTATATTCTTCTGTTGTTGCTACTACTTTAGGAATATGCTGAGAAGAGAAAGAATGGTATAATGAATCATGTCACAGCCTTTTTTTTTTTTTATCATCTCCACTCTTTACTGCTGCTCTAGAAATATCTCACTACTTTTAAAATGTTATATCCAATATCCTTGTAGAATGAGAAATCAACAAATCTCATATCTGTCTGCTTTTATGGGTTTTTTTTCTTTTTTTTTTTTTTTTTTTTGGTCTTTTTTTGCCGTTTCCTAGTATGGACATATCAATACTTTAAAAATTACTGAAGTGGATGGAATAAAACCAGATCGTTCTTTTCCTTTTCATCTTCTTCAATTTTTCTTTTCCATGTACTTTTCCACTGGTAGCAGATTGTTCTCAGAGGAATAATTTCACCATTCTGCTTTAGTAAGTAAAAGTTAATCACTAACATAAATGCTTTTTATAAGGCCAATATATAACTTTAAAAAAGTGAAAAAGACTTTGAGTTCACCAGTGATGTAGAATGCCAGACTAGCTCCAGAGAAACATGTTTGAAGGTATGCAAGTTTTCTGAGCTGTTTGCTGAACCTTATAATAAAGACTGCCTTTTAGAATTTTTGTAAGATTTGCCTTTAATCAGGTAATCCTGCCCTAACATGCTGCTTATTTGTCATAACCCTCCAACTGGTTTCAGTACGTTCAGCTGGACTTCAGGATTTTCTGAGCAAAACATCAGAATCCTGATAAAGAGGTGTTTTGTACTATATACATTATGACTATACATTCAAGCACCAGCCAGCATTCAACCAGCCTGGCAGCTGCATGCTAGTTTGTTCACTCAGTTGCCTCCCTGCAGCAGGACAGAGAATATAATAAGAACAAAAGCAAGAAAACTTGTGGGTCGAGGTAGAGACAGTTTAATAGATGAAGGAAAGAGGAGTGGGGGAATCACAATGTGAAGGAAATCACTGGCCACCTCCCACAAACAGGCCAATGTCCAACCAGTCTCCAGGCAGCAGCCATTTGGAAGCCCGCTCCTTCTTCCTTCTACCTCCAATTTTTATTACTGAGTATAATTCTATGTGATATGGAATATCCCTTTGATCAATTCAGGCCAGCGGTCCTGGCTGTGTTCCCCTTCCAAGTTTCTTTCCCACCCCCGTCATACCCCCTGGGTGGGGATGATGACAAAGTTGGGAAAAAGAGAAAGTCTTGGCCCTGTGCAGTAGCTGAAATACTACTCTGTTAACAACACTGTTGTAGTCACAAATCTAAACCACAGCACCATACAGGCTGCTGTGGAGAAAATTAACTCCATCCCAGTAAGATCCAGTACATACATGAACGGTTTTGGATTAAAAAAATGAAAATATTACATTCTGAATCTTTAGAATTACTTGAACTTAGATTCAGTTTAGAGATGTTTTACGATACTGGTCTGCTGCTAGAAAGCACGTGTTATGTGTATGAGGCTCCTACTGGCAAACTTACTCCCTGACCACAACACAGAGTATGTCTCCCCTGCTTTGTGAAACTCCCAAATTGTTCATAACTGGTTGACACTCACATACAGGGTCAGCAAACAGCAAAGATTCACTGTGAATGTGTGAAATGGAGGCAGGGGAGGGTGCGGCAGTAATCAAATGGCTGAGTTCCAGTTACTGTATTTTGGGCTTGACAGATCTGTGAATGGTAGCAGTGAAGATGAGTTTCTTCTGTTGTAGTCTGGACAAATAGCTGTTTAAGAAAAGCTCCTAAATCACCCAGATAGCCCAGCGAGTGTTCATGTTTTCATATTTTATGTCATCTTGGGTCATGCATCAAATACCAAAAGTGAAACTGTGTTGGATAATATTAGCAAAAAAAAATTATGTTAGTGGGCCATGATTGCACTAGATGGATTTCTATCTATTTCGGCATTTCTCTGCAGAGTTTAATAATATGCTCTGTTCAGTCTTCTTCTGTTTTAATCTGACTCTAGATGTGTAATAATAAATGGAAGTTGACTTTAGAGGATGTGCAGAATCTCTTTATTCTGTTTGAACTTCCCAAATTGTTTTTTCATGTCTTCATCTGCTGTAATATCCCTTTTTCTGTCTTCTGTCTCTGCTTGTGTACATTTTCTCTGTACATCTATTGGTTTGGTCGTATCATAGCATATAGAAAGTGTCCAGCACATAGGAAGCAGTAACTTTCAATCCATAAATGAGTTGAATAAAACCCATGAAAGTAAACAGGCAATAATAACAGCAGTGTGAATCAGCATGGCTAATGTCCTTCAAGAATTTCACAAAATTTGCAGCATTTTACATCAAGTTCTCTGGCCTACAGAGACCTTAAGAAATTTACAAACTTAGTGCTTTGACTGCCGTCTATGCCAGCACCATAGTCAGAATGAGAACTGTGTTGCAGAATGTGGGGTCTTTCTGCTTCATAAAGAAAGTAAAATGCAGGGTGTTAGATAGTTTCCATTCCTCAATTTTAGCCTGAATGAGACAGGAAAAGGCACTATATTGTGGGAATTAGATGTCAGCAAATAGTGGTAACTTTCAAATGACAAGTACTGTTAAGTAAAAAAGTACTGCTGTGAAATGGAATATTTTATTCAACTCTTTCCAAAACAGATTTCTCTAGAGGTCTGAGTATTTTTTTTAGAAGTATGACATGACAAATTCATGCTGAAAATAAGAAAGTTTTGATCTTTTTTTCTAAAATGAAGTTGAGGGTTGATTTTTATTTTGTTAATTCATCATCTTATTTTTAAAGTTTACAGATCCTTCCTACCCTACAAATATTCTTCCTGCACACCAACTGAATTTCAATATAAGAAGGACTGAATATGACACCAATTCTTAAAATGAGCAGAATTATAGGGAGAAGGGTCAGCTCTTTTGTTGGATACATCTATACGGAGCTTTGAGTTCACATTTTGTATCCGCACTGTGGACTTAGGGACCTAACACCTAGAAAATAGAGGTAAGGAACTGTAGCTTTTATTACCCTTTCTCATATTGTGTATCCACCCATAATTCTGAGAATGCACTTAGCCTGGCTTTTACCAGGCTAATTCCTATTTATTCTCAATGGAGTTTATATGAAGGGAAAATCTTCAAATTCATTCACTATTATTTTAGTTTCATTTCTGTGACTTCAAGATTCAAATTTTTAAGAATATTAATTTTTTTCTCTTAGGAGGTGAAAATATGAATGCAGTTCTTACAGCTTAATAGTAGAGGGTTATTTTTATATAGGGGGTGAAGGAGATGTGTTCTTCTCTATCTTTTTAGTAGCCAGTGTTCTACAGTATCCATCCTGCTATAGTAATTTATAGTAGAAGCAGGTTCTGCGAACAAAAAAATGTATTCCTGCTTTCTCTGGCACCTGGATGCATCTCTTGTGGAAAGCAGCCAGCAAGGCATCTCCCTCTTCCACAGAGGCTAGCAAGTGAGAGCATTTCTAAGAGCAGGTTTTTGATCTGACGAGGTTTAGGATCTGCTTCCAGGAGATGTGTGAAAGATAGCTAAGAGAAGCATGTATGTTGTTAGCAGGCTTCCAATTGATTTCTAGGGACCTACATTTCTGCTGAAAAAAAAAAAAAAAAAAAAAAAAAAACCAAAACCAGGCAAAACAGAAAAGACTGAGGACCTCTGCTCTACTTGTTTGTGCAACAGGCATTCTTTTTACATGGCCAGTTCCTATTTTTCTACCTTTGACACAACCCACTCCACTGGGGCTGAGTCAGTTCTCTAAATTAGCAAGTGTGGCCACCTACTGGGGAAAAAAACAATGTAAAAACAAATCAGAAATAACAGAATGTACAAAAATGGTAATACCTTGAGCAGAGGTAGATAGCCAGCTAGAATTACAACAAACACAAGAATAAAAATTCAAGTCCCAGTTTCCTGTGCCTATTACCATATAGTTGTGATATTATACTTTGCTCTTTCTCTGTATAAATAGTTCCCTCTTCTTCTGACAGCTTTATCCTTACCCAGTTACTCCTCTCAATCAGATCAAATTAATCCCTGATTTTGAACACCTGCAGTTTTGTTTAAATCACAATTTAGTGTTTAGTAGATAGAAACTGCACCTGACACGAACAGATCACAAGGCAAGATGTAACTGATCATTTTATTTTATTTACTAAACTACCAACAATTATTGCTTTATTTGGCAGGAGCACTCTAAGTAACAACAAATATGATTGAAATATGAAATGAACTGAACGGGTTAGGAATTACAAGAGCTTCTTTAGTTTCCAAGTGGTTATGGATGTTTTATATTGGTAGTGTGGTACAGCCATGTCTACAGCAGGGAAACACACTTACTTTTGAAGAAGGGCACCAGCATGGCCACAGTTAGACAATAGCTGATGATAACATATGTTGCCTGGAGAAGATTAAGCAACATTCACATGTGCTAGGAGCTAACTGATCATAGTACTGATGTGCCTCTGACACATCTCAGGCCCAGGTAGTCAGGCACCCCTACCACCCGGGGGCCCAGTCATCAGAGAGCAATCGCTGCCTGAGCCTTTCATCTTCCATTTGTAGGAAAGGGTCCTGAGAATTCAGTTTTAATTTAGCTTCCTTCATTTTAAATCCTTATCAAACAAATGTTAGAGCCGAGAACAAAATGGCAACAGCTGGTAATGTTTGTTAATTAATTACGGTTAAAGTCTGTATGTTTATCTAAAGTTGGTTTTGCTGTTATAGGACTATAGAGAATGGAGCAGGATGTGATTAAATTTAGATGTTTTGCTGGGAAGAAGGTGAGAGTTTACTAAATGTCACCTGAGAGCAAAAGTCTTTGTAAGAACTGAGAGGATTTTAACAGAGGTGAAACTTCTTCAGACTTACAGTGGTTTTCTGAAATAATCTGCATCTGTTTCTAAAAGGTAAACACAGTGGTTTAGATATATGATGTGTTGACTCACTTAAGATAAACAGTAAGAGCATTCACATGTCCTGATACATGTGTAGTGCTGAAAGACTTCTCTCACCCACCTCTGTGCTGCTGTGTAGATGGGAGTTGCAGTTTTCTCCAGAGGAGCAGTCTCGGTATAAAACATTTTATTAATACGCTTACACATGTGACAACATTTGTGAAAGGGGCTTTATTTTTTATTAGAATAATTAATAAAGGTTTAAAGTTTGATCAAACTTTTGACCATGTAAGATCTTTTTTCAGCCCAAAGAAGACTTAACCTACCTGAGTCTGACGGTGGATTTTCAAGGACTTTAATAATTGGCCTAGGAAACCGCTACCTCTGCAGTTCAACGTTAATTATTTTCTTAGATGGTGATGGTTACAAAATAGCCCGAGTGCAGTTTGTTTCCCGGCTTTCTCCAGGGGCTGTGAGGGTGATGCCGTCAGGGTTGCGAGGGGGGAGGGCGACTGGGTGGGAAGGAGATGGCGGCAGGGCCGCGAGGGAAAGGACGGTGGGCGCCGAGCGAGAGGGAGATGGCGGGGCGAGGAGGGCGAGGTTCAGCGGGTGCCGAATGCGAGGGAGCGAGCGGCAGGGCTGCGAGGGGAAGGGGGAGGTGGGTGCGAGGGAGATCGCAGGGCTGCGAGGGGAAGGTCGGTGGGCGCTGGGTGAGAAATCGCAGGGCTGCGAGGGGAAGGGGGAGGTGGGTGCGAGGGAGATGGCGGCCGCGCCCCCCGCCCCGCACGAGCGCTCCCGTCGCCGCCGCCATGGGGCGCGGTGGCGCCGCCCGGCGCCGTTACCCGGCGCTAACGGCCGCGGCGGCCCCGTGCTGCCATGGCGGGGCAGCTGCGGCCCGTCTACGAGGGGGAGCTCATCGACAGGTTCCCTGAGCTGTCGGCCGTGAGTGCCTCTGCCGCAGGGATCCCACCGTTGCCGCGGGGCCGCCCGCCCGCCCGCTCTATGCGCATTTCTGAGGCCGGGGGTCCTGCCGTCGGCTGAGGGAAGAGGCTGGAGGAGGGGGCAGCGGGTGGGGTGGGCAGGCGCACGTCTCTGCGGCCCACGCCCTCTTCCCCCCAAAATGCTTGTGGCTCTTTCCCCCCCCCCCCCCCCTTTTTATCAAAACAGGGACAATTAAACAACATCTCGTGCAAGGTTTCAGATCGTAATTTGACTAGTGGATATTAGTACAGCGAGTTAAGTTGTGCCTTGTTTTTTGATTGTATTGCTTAGGCTGGAAAGTTGCTTCTCAGCGGTGGAACAGCTGCGAGTTGCTTCACTGAATTTTTACCCAGGGTGAGTTGATTTTTCAGATGCTCCTTGTGAAAGTTTTGTAATGACCTCCAATTGGTGATTGTTCTTTGAGACAAGCCCTAAAAAAAAAAAAAAAAAGAGAGTCAGTGAAATCTTGTTCATTTTTTCTACATCCCTTCTCTTTAGAAACTGCTATTTTTTTTTTTTTTTCCAACGTTACTTTTGTCACATGGGATCACAGAATAGCTGGTAGCATTGTAAAACACTTCTGGCAGTTCTTATTCACTCTGCATGCTTTACAAAATTCACCATGCCTGCTTAGATGAGACTAAATAGAATTGGTTTAGGCAGTTTTTCTCTGGTAATACAATTATAATGATTAGGAATTATTATTACTTCTGATAGTGGTCCTCCTTTATAAAGGATGCCCCTCAGAATTGTGCTTACAACTAGCCCTTCCCCACGCCCCTGAAGAGTCAGAAGGTACTGAGACACAGATCCCTTAAATAGCAGCTCTCTCTAAAGGGATAATTAAAAACCCCCCAAACTGTGGTTGAAATAATTTATGGAATTGCTTCATTGATGGTGGATCAGGTTAAAGGTTTCTGAAGTTGATAAATGCAGCATCTACTTTTCAAGAAATAGACGTGAAGATACTGTTACCCATCTTAAAGATGGAACCAGATAGTTGAAGCTTAGCAACTTTCTCCTTACTTCTGTTGCTGGTTTGATAAAATTTAGGCTGGGCTGTTTGAGCTTATGCACAGAGTATCAGCATCTGCAGAAGCATACACGTGTGTTGCAGCCCTAAAATGTGCTAAAATTTTATTCTTACCTCTGTGGAATCACACTGAAGTGTCTGCAGTACTTTTCATTAATATTTTGGTGTAAAACTGGTTTTGCTTTTCCTTATATATAGCCCATTATTCCAACTACTGTGCAAAAGTTTCGAAATGCAACGAATCCAGCTCCTGGTGTTGAAAGAATGTTCTACGGCAGAGCAAATGATCCTGACATTGCAGTTCACTTGACACATGGCATAGTGTCACGTTCTTCACTCAGCGTAAGCATCTGACTCATTTACTTTTGTTTAAGAATGGGCTGCCTAAGAATAAGAGCAACTGGTCTCTTCATAGTCAGGGATAAAGGTACATAGCTGAGTGATTTACACTGAAGCATTTCACTGCCATTGTGGATTATCTGAACTCTGAGGTCAATTCCTAGGATTTAATTAGCATGATTGAAATAGGAAAACACTTGAAGTTTACTGACATTTTTCTTACCAATGACTTAACTTTTGCAGTGACTACTGAATTATTCATTTCATGTCAACATTTAAGCTAGTGACCAGTCTTCTACCCACAAATTTTACTGCTTTCTTCTTTACCGATTGCTGCAACAGGTAAAATCTGTTGAGCTCTTAGCAAGAGAACTGCTATCTGAGAACATGCTTATAGTTCAGTGTAATTGTGTATTCTTTCATACCTTTGGGTTGAAATGGATTTTGTTAGCTAAAAAGTGATGTTTTGGATATGTCAGACTATTTTGTGTGTATTCTTTACTTCAGAAATTATTTTTGTAATCTGTAATTAAACAACTAAAGAGATCATTGGTGATTTCATCATATAATTATTGTTCAAATCTCTAAAAATAGCAGTTGTGTTAGTAAAACACACTTTCATGGTGCATTTCATCAGCTGGGCTTGTAAATTAATAATTTTCAGTTTTACAAATGAAGAAGTTGAGGCAAAGAGGAGTTCAGGTTTCAAAAATAAGTCTTCAGGTGGAAACATGTAAGTCCTGATATTAGAGGATGTTGAGTAGGACATTTATTAGGCATATCCAAAATGAAAATAAAGGTTCTTGGTGTCTCTCCTCAGAAGTTTTACATTGAATGGATTGATTTGTTTACCTTGTACTGTCTGTTGAAGACTGGCTTAGTTTGCATTATCAATTAAATATTAACTGGAGGAAGAATTGGAATCAGAGTATTCCAAGTGTGAGTTTGGATCAATTGTATTTGCTACTACTGTTTCCAGTTCTTCTTTGTATAACATTCAACAAGAGTCCAGTAGTAAACCCTCTCTAGAGTCCCCATTACTTTGATGGGTAGCATGAAAAATCAAATTATTTGGGAAGATCACAATACACTCTTTTGACATTTTGAAACTTTTTTTTTTGAGATTTTTTTCCCCCTGTAAACTGACCTAATCTTACAAGTAACTTCTATTGGCCCAAGCCCAGTGTGCACACTGAGAAAAAAAATTTTGTCTAACCAGGTGCTAAGCTTTGAACACCCTCCTGAAATAATTTCTGTTGGTATGTTGTCTTAGGGTGCAATATTAGTGTATATCTCCAAATACTACCTTTAAATTCTGCATCTGCAGAACTGGGAATAGCTGTTTAGAGAATAGATAGTCTTAACCACTAGACAATAGATATTTTAAATCATAAGCACCAGGAGACTTCGTTCCAAAGATGTTATAACTGTAATTATTTTCACACTTAAATTTTGGACATATTATATTTTGACTATGGTTTCTAATACACGCTAAGAACAGAAAGGCCACAATCTGAAATTTTATAAATTAACAAGTGGAAAAACTCACATAACAATAAAGAGTTCTGTCTCATGACATGTATTTTACTGAGCTGGAGATGTAGCATAACACTGATTATTAGTGGTCTTCTCTCAAAATTCAGTTCTGTTTTTCAGCTTTGTAGATAAAATCATGTCAGTGTAATCGTATAAAGTCTCATTAGAACACTTATGATCCAACTTTTGTTCATGTGTGTGTTGAGGGGATAGCCACAGTGATGTGTGAATGATTAAATTTTGCTGCTTTTCCTGCTTTTTGTGATGTCTTTAGGCAGCTTCATTGATAAATCCACTTCCTAAAACTGATTTTCAACAAAGAATACAAGACAAAAAAGAAGCAATCTACCTTAGTAATCGTCAAGCACCCTTGGGCAGATCGCACGATCAATCTTGTATGTTACCTGAGGGCTTGGATATAATTAATACCACATTTGGAACAAAAGTCATCCAAGGTAGGAAAATTTAGCATTAAGACATATTTCTTCCACATACAAGAAAATATGCAATTTAGTATCTAGCACATATTCTATGCTTCCAACAATTCCAGCTTAATATAAAAGTTACAGCAGTTTAATTTAAAGGCATAAAAACGTACTAATATTTTTCAGTTACGATGAAGAAACAAGCAACTGAGAACATTTGGTGACTAGCAGGGCTCTTGCTTCTGCTCCAGATCAGTCTTTATAGATTTCCCCGGAGAACTGTTTAGGTGGTTGACCTTCCTTTTCCCAACTATTCTAATAGTCTAATAATAAAGATACTACATTGACTGGTGAATCTTTCCTCCATAGATGGGAGCAAATCACCTATGTGTTGACCCTGTAGCTCTCTTGCAACAGTTACATTCATCTCTGTTCCTGTGATTTATTTTTTTTCCCTAGTCACATGTCACTATGCTGTTAGATTCCTAGAGAGTGACTAGAAATGTGGTAAGCAGTGTCATTCTTCCACAGGATTAGCATCTTTTCTAACAAGATGTTTAAAATTAAGAACCAACCAAATAAAACACCCATCCCCCTTGCCTTCCCCAACCATATGTTTATTACTTACTTTCCAGATGTATCAGCTGGAGAGATTATCAATCCACCAAAAACGTATGAAGAAGTGGATAAAGAAGCCAGAGAAGGACATGATCTGTACATTGTGTCACACAATGATTATCACGTGGGTAAGTTCAAAGGCTGACAAGAAATGGCATAAAAAGTTCTAATATAAATAAAGGTAATTGTTCCTCTTTGTGTCTTCAACATGTTGTATGCAATTGTTTGAGGTATAAACTATTACTTTTTACTACTGCATTATAATGATAGAAGTTATTTCTAGAAGTAATGATGTGAAAAAAAAAAATTAGATGCAACTGAGACAGCATGACCTGTTTCTAGAACTGTAAGCCACTTCATGATGGGTGTGTTGGACAATATAAGAACTTAATGAAGGAGTTGGAAGCCTGATTTTTTTGGGGTGCTATTTGAAAAGCAAAGTATTTACAGGAAATTAGAAACTCTTAGTTGCCCTGGTTGCTTACAGAGTTTGACATTGTGCCACTGAGAGCAATCTCAGGCTTAAAGTCACGGACTGTGAGCCCAACCTATTTCAGTACTTTCACTTCAGGTTCCTCTCTTTTATCAGGATCCAAAGAGAATTTCAGGGTAGTTAGACTTTCTGATGGGGAGCTCAGCATCAGGCTCTGGTTACAAGGAATTTCAGGCTGCTGACTGGCTCTCTGCAATGTGGGTTCCTCAGCCTACAGCATCCTGCCTATGAGCCTGTCCCACAGCCTCTGTTTCTGCCCTTCCAGTGGGCTGTGCCTCCACTGCTTCCACCTCAGGGGGCTGTATTTGTGTGGAGTGGTCTGCTGAGGGATGGTTACCCTTTATCTCCTAGGTCGGCACAGGAACAGAGTGACAAATAGCATTCTGAAAAGCAGTACTTCTGCAGCCACTTCTGTTTTTCCCAGTTCCATCGTTTCCACTTAGACTGAGAGGGTTACATTGCTGCTCTGTAAGATTAGTATTATAATAAAATTGCCCATTGCGCTCGTATCAACAGTTTTGTAGGTGTAGGCCAAACATGTAAGAAACTGCAATACAGATATTTAATTGGAAATAACGTAATACTGTATGGAGGTAGTTAGGTATAAGTGAAATTATAATACTGTGTTCTCTCACTGAGAAATTCTATTACAAGTACTAGTGGTATAAATTGGCCCAGCGTGAAAATTTTTTTCACCTCTTCCCCACTTTTCTTAGGTGTTTTAGTAGAGTTATTCATTATCTGTTTCTGTCTCCTTTGTAACTTCCATCCACAAGATCATGAAAAGGGCAAACCAAAAACAGACAGATGGAAAAAAAAAAAAGTCAACCGTATGCCCCAGTTTTAAAGAATAACATAAAAATTCCATGCTGCCATACAGCCAGAGGAATCCTTATTAGAAAGCACGCAGTGAATAATATTTTTTGAAAATTCTAATTTCCATTCTTTACAAAAGGTGACTGAAAACAGCTTAGAGAAACTGAATGACTTTTTTTCTGTGACAAGAAACATGTGCTTGCAGCTCACATAGAGTACTTATGTGATATTCTTATTTGTGAAACTTCATTTTATAGGCAATACTGGATTAACAGATTCATGAGCAAGTAGGGTAATATCTTGTTTACACTGAAGTCACTGGCAAAATTTCCATTGAAGTCAACATAGCAAGAGTATATCTGAAAGTGCAGCACCTCAAAAACATTTTTTTCCTTTTAGCATTTTTTTTTGACAAATAGTGCATTAAATGGAATACGTCTCTGCTCAAGTATGGACATTATAAAGTGATTTGTTTGTATGACCCTCACTACTTAAGCAGCTTGGTATTTTTTCATTAATTTTGTTAGGCTTGTTTTTAGTCAGACATAAAAGGACATCCAACTATTTTACCACTAAAACAGTTTTTGCTTTTAATTTTGCTTTTTATCTTCGCTTTTGACATTGAGATTATTCCTAACTACTTACTAAACATGGAGAATACAAATTAATTCTTTTTAATTGAACAGAATTGTTAATTAGTTATCTGCTTTTGTTTCTTCATTGTTTTGTCTTAAGAATGAAGATACTTAGCACATTTTTCTTCCTGAGGTGTTTTATACAGGTTGAAACACTTTTTCCACAGGGGAAGCAATAAATAGGAAGTATGACTCGCCAAACTTCAGCAAGTCTTTTGTTTATGGAATAGAAACCCCTCACTTTAAAGATGGGCGAGGCACATACAAATCCTTAAATTGGCTCTGTGATCTGCAATTGTAAGTTGCAATGAGTTAACTAGTCAATTAGTGATGTGAGTTCTCAAGAAGATAATTTTACCTCTCGCAATCCCATTCTTAGCTATACTGAACTGAGTAGAAAATGCAAGGACTAATTTTCAAGTAGTTTATCCAACAGCACTTGGCATGTCTTTAGCATTACCTAAAGACACTTTTGATTTTAAATAGCAAGACTTTTCAATTACTAAATTTGTGTTTGTCTTGCAGTGGACTTGTTTCCTTCTAACATGTAATAATGTATTTTAATATAACTGAAAAATTGTTGAATATTGTTAAGCAAATATGTACAAGAGTTATTTTCATAATTTGTAGGAAGAAAGCAGCAAAAATTGTATCAAAACGAAGTGATGATTTCAAGGAAAAATTTCAGCCACAGCTTGGAAAAGTCCTTGATCCGTAAGTAAGCAAAGATACCTTCCAAGAACAAAATTCACTCAATTCACAATTGCAAAGTCGCCAGTGCCTTTTTCTGTCTTGGGTAAAAATTATGCTCTGTGCTTCCACTGCAGCATTCAGTTACAGAAAGGGGCTTTCTACTTGCCCTAATAGGTATGCATGTTACTGATGAGGGCTGTGTTGTGTCTATGTGGTGAAGTTTTAAATCTTCTTGTATAACTGCCCTGTATCTGAATTGATCAGATTTGCACAAAGCAAATTACAAGCACGCTGTAACATTTCACTGTTTATTTCCTGTCTTTTGCAGTTAGGAAGGTTTGAAAGAACTGAAATGTCTCACCTGTTATTTGGGGATTTGACCATTTTGCTTACTCTGACACTATTTTTGATCATCTTTATTACATCACCTGTATTCTCACTTTATTTCCTTGGAAAAACACCTGGAATGAAATTATGTTATCTAGCAGCATGTACCAGTCTCAGTCGAATCATTATAATGCTTCATACACCTCAGGTGATCTGGAACAGCTTTTGATTTTACAAAACAGTGCTTATGAAGGGCTACAGTAGTCCTAAGTTACAGTGTGATCAGGATCCAGCTGGGCTACAAATCTACGGTTCCTGGATGTATACAAAAACTGTCTTTGTGGATGCTCTAGATTTCTGCAAAATAGTATCTGAAGACTAAAAAACTACATTATTGACTTTGGTAACAAAATTTAATTTTAAGCTCAAGATCACAGACTTAAGTGACTCTGGAGAAGTATGCCCATAGTTCCTGTGAGGAATGAACACAAATGTGAGCCAGTTCCTCCTTTTCCCTTCACTGTGTCCTAGCTTACTGTGAAGTACACATGAAGTGTGCGCAACTTGATACAGTATGATCAGTCAGGGAATATGGGTTGCAGTGCAATCTCAAACCCTGCACTAATATTACAAGACAGATACAAGCTAACTTAATTTTATGTAGTGAATTTCACACCATCCACATCCGGTGTATAATATGAAAATTGTAAAACAACAATACACAAAGTAGCTTTTAGATTACAGTGCTTCCATCTCTGTTTGTTTGGGTTTTTTTTTTTTTTTTTTTTTTTGTTTTGTTTTGTTTTTGGTTTTTGTTTTTGTTTTTCTGTTTTGTATTTTAGAACAAAGCACTGATTCCCCTTTCAATTTTGATCATGGAATGGTTTGGGTTGTAAAGGACCTTAAAGCTCACCTAGTCCCACCCCCCTGCCCCGGGCAGGGCCCCCTTCCCCCAGCCCAGGGGGCTCCCAGCCCCGTCCAACCTGGCCTTGAACCCTTCCAGGGAGGGGGCACCCACAGCTGCTGTGGGCACCCTGGGCCAGTGCCTCACCGCCCGCACAGAAAATAATTTCTTCCTTATATCTAAACCTACCCTCTTTCAGTTTAAAGCTGTTACCCCTTGTCCTATCACTACCCTCCCTGATCAAGAGTCCTTCCCCATCTTTCCTATAGCGCCCTTTAAGTACTGGAAGGCCCCTGGAGCCTTCTCTTCTCCAGGCTGAACAACCCCAGCTCTCTCAGCCTGGCCTCACAGTGGAGGTGCTCCAGCCCCCTCAGTCATCTTTGTGGCCATCATCTGGACTTGCTCAAGCAGGTCCATGTCCTTCTTGTGTTGGGAGCCCAGAGCTGGCCCCAGCACTGCACGTGGGGTCACACAAGAGCAGAGCAGAGGGGGAGAATCCCCCCCCTCGACCTGCTGGCCACACTCCTCCTGATGCAGCCCAGGACACGTTGGCTGTCTGGGCTGCGAGCACACATTGCTGGCTCACAGTCAGTTTTTCATCCACTAACACCCCCAGTCCCTCTCCTTGGGGCTGCTCTCCAGCCACTCGTGGCCCAGCCTGTATCTGTGCTGGGGATGGCCCCGACCCACGGGCAGGACCTTGCCCTTGGCCTTGCTGAACTCCAGGAGGTTTGCCCGGGCCCCCCTCTCCAGCCTGTCTGGGCCCCTCTGGATGCCACCCCTGCCCTCAGCGTGTCCCCCACCACACAGCTCGGGGTCATCGGCAAACTTGCTGAGGGTGCGCTCGATCCCACTGTCTGTGTCACCAACAAAGATGTTCGATGGCACCGATCCCAGTACTGACCCCTGAGGAACGCCACTTGTCACTGATCTCCACTCGGACACTGAGCCGCTGACCACACTCTCTTTGAGTGCAACCATCCAGCCAATTCTTTACCCACCGAGTGGTCCATCCATCAAATCCCTGTCTTTCCAGTTTAGAGACAAGGATGTTGTGGGGGACAGTATCAAATGCTTTGCATAAGTGCAAATTTGTCAGGCACAATTTGTCCATAGTGAAGCCATGTTGTCTGTCACCAATCATCTCCTTATTTTCCATGTGCCTTAGCATAGTTCCAGGAGGATTCACTTCATGATTTTGCCAGGCGCAGAGGTGACACTGACTGGCCTGTAGTTCCCTGGGTCTTCTTTCTTTTCCTTTGTAGAAATGGGGGTTGTGTTTCCCCTTTTCCAGTCAGCGGGAACTTCACCAGACTGCCATGACTTCTCAAATGTTATGGATAGTGGCTTAGCCACTTCATCTGCCAGTTCCCTTAGGACCTGCAGATGCATCTCATCAGGTCCCATGGACTTGTGCACCTTCAGGTTCCTTAGATAGTCTCAAACCTGATCTTTTCCTGCAGTGGGTGGTTTTTCATCCTCCCAGACCTTTGCCTTCTGTGTCTTGGGCGGTGTGGCTGGAGCACTTGCTGGTCAAAACTGAGGCAAAAAATTCACTGAGTACCTCAGCCTTCTCCATATGCCAGGTAACCAGGGCTCCTGTTTCTCTCTGGAGAGGGCCCACATTTTCCCTAGTCTTGCTTTTACCACCGATTTACCTGTAGAAGTTTTTCTTGTTGCCATTGATGTCCCTGGCCAGATTTAATTCTATCAGGGCTTTGGACTTCCTGACCTGATCCCTGGCTGTCTGGGAAGTTTCTCTGTATTCTTTCCAGTCTATCTGTCCTTGTTTCCACCCTCTGTAGGCTTCCTTTTATGTTTGAGCTTTCCCAGGAACATCTTGTCCATCCATACGGGCCTCCTGGTGTTCTTACCTGACTTCCTCTTTGTCTGCATGCATTGCTCCTGAGCTTGGAGGAGGTGATCCTTGAATATTAACCAGCTTTCTCAGGCCCCTCTTCCCTCCAGGGCTTTATCCCATGCTACTCTGCCAAGCAGATCCCTGAACAGGCCAAATTCTGCTCTCCTGAAGCCCAGGGTAGTGAGCTTGCTGTGCGCCTGCCTTGCTGCCCTAAGGATCTTGAACTCCACCATTTCATGGTCACTGCAGCCAAGGCTGCCCTTGAGCTTCACACTTGATGGAGGTTTCTGGTTCATATAACAGTTGTAAATACTGAACATAGAGATAAAATGAACATAGCATATTTTAAAAATTAAGAAATAAATAAACATTTTTTTTTAATGTCACTAACAGCATCTTAATTTTCTGGTAAATAAAACTGGGACAATTTTTCCAGATGGGTATTGGTTTGGTTGCTGGTTTTGGTAGACACAAAATTGTATGTGAGAAAGCAGAGATGTAATTTTATTTTTCCACTTTAGCCAAAAGTAGTTTCTTTGGAGCCATTATTTCAGTTGGAGATCTGGTTTGTCCTAAACATTCCTATTATTTGGTCTTTCAAAAGAAATCTTTTGGACTTCACTCATTTTTGTCATTGTATTATAAAAAAATGTATTTTAGCATAGAATGTTTTTCCTTTTAATGAGTATAGATGTTCAAAAAGTTAATGTTTACATTTGTTTGTGTTAGATTACAAACAGCAAATGTACTAAACAGGAATGCTTTTCTGGAATGGCAACTTTGAAGCAAAGTACTGATAAACAAATTTCAGGTGAACTATGTGTATCATCCCTAATCATGTAACAGATTATTACTTTTTTTTTTTTTTAAATAATAGCACAGGGTTTATTTTGGCTGTTAATAAACTATTTGACAATTAACAAAGAAATGTGCTTATTAACAGTATAGCAGAAACTATGAATGTCCCCCCAGGCCATACATTTGGAATGTTACTCCATCGAGATGAATACGGTAAGTTCAGGGGAGAATAAGATTTTACCTTATTGCTGAAACTATGCTGAAGTATTTACTGCTGGTTGTGTAGCATTTAATTTTCCTAAAACCTTAGAGGCAAGGTACAAATTTTGACAGTGACAGTAAATTTTTGGAGGGAAAATTTGAGAAGCATTTAAGTTGCTAGTGGGAAAAAAAGAATTTCAGAAATAAAGAAATTTTAGGTTTTGGATGATTATGTTGTTTTTTTGGTTTTGTTGTTTTTTTTTGCAAGCCTCTCTATCTGAATGAAAGCAAAATGGTAAATGTCAGAAAACTCACTGAGATCTACGTGATAAAGTTAGAATGGCTATTTAAATCAATTATGTGTCTTTCCTCTCAATGATTTTTCCAGCACTTCTGTAAAAAGAGTTAGCATAATAAGAAATAAATAAGAATAATAAGTTTTGAAGGTAGTAGGGAGAAAACAGAATGAAAATAAAACATTATTCATTATCATTATGACAATGGTGTTTCAACATTATGTTTAATAACTAGAGAATACAGTGAATAGTTAGGCAGCAAAAAATGTAAGTGATTCAGAGTTTTTAAATTAGTCAAGGCATGTTCAAATTCTGGATAAGCTTTTATACATGCTTTACTATGCAGTGTAATAAATATTTAAAATGTGTAGGTGCGCTTGTCCATTAAGGAACAGAAGAAGGAACTGAACAAACAAATTTGTTAGTAACTAGAAAATAATGCATGTACGTTGCTGTTAGAAGGGGATTAGGTGAGATGCTCCTATTTCTTATTGGACTCTGAATTAACTTCTTGCACTCTAGAAAGTGACCTTGGTGTCTTGGGGAGTTGGATGAAGACTGTAGCTCAGTGTGCCAAACTGTTTAAAAATACTAATAAAAGGTAGGATATGTAGAAAATGGGAAGAGTAACACAAAAATAGTACACTGTCGTTCTAGAAATCAATGGTACATAATTATCTGAAATATTACATTGACTTTCCTATTGGTTCTTGTAAGTGTTCTGAAATACAACAGACTAGAAGTGCTCTATGTTTTTTTCTCCACTGTCTGGATATTGAGTAACTCTTACTGCTCTCAGAAGCTTTTAGGAGGAGTAGGTGGATTTGTGAAGCTATATTAAGATGTTTCAAAATTTTTGATACTAACTGCATGTGAGTAGAGAGATCATCATATGGACCATTGGATCTTTTAATGAAATGGCCGTATCAGATGTTCAGCAGTGCTGAAAATCAGCACCTTTAAACTGAAATGCTCCTCTTCCATAAGACTGTAAGCCATTCTTTTTAAATGTCCATTTTCTGTATACACACAACTAATTAAGGAAGTGTTTATTTTGATAGGGATTGGCGATCTTCTTCAGTGGCGGGTTCCATGTGAGTTCCTCCATGGTAAAGGCAGAGAGAGAGCTGTCTTGGCAGCAGTTCGACAGAGTTTGAAGAAATCTAACTATGAGAATTTTGACATGTTACTAGAAGCATTCAGGCATTATGATAAGGTTAGTGCTTTGAAGAAGTATAAATGTAAAGGAATGTGTTAAATCAGCGCTCCTGTGCTATGGAGATACAAACATGAAGAAACATTAGCATATCAAGGCAAATATAGATGAAGACTATAAAGACAAGGTAACTTCATAGTTATTGTATGTTTAATCTACTGTGATGTGCTATGGAATTAAACAGAACAGTGTTTGGAGCTTTTCACAACAGTATTTGGAATATCCAGGTTAACAGTGAGGAAGGGACATACATGTGAGCAGGAATAATCCTAGCATTTTTTGCTCTTTAGAATTTGATATTTCTTCTTAAAAGAAAAATGGTTGAAAGGATTATGATCATATTTTCTTCCAATCTCTACTTTTTTGACTGAGTCACCAAGCATTAGAATTTCAGATATTTTATTTTTTTTCTCTTTGGAAAAAAACCTATAGTTGACATTTCATATATAACATTAACTGTAATGTATACAGAATGATTGATGCCTTACTTTGAAAAGAAATCTTGGTTTTGCCTCAACATTTATGATTAGGTTGTTGTCTTGTCACAATACCCTGTTATACTCTTTTAGTCTCAAATTGCTGTATTATTTAAATTGAAAATTATTTATTGACACATGTTCAGATTTTTAATTTCTAAATGATTTAGGGTTTCTTTTTTTACTCAGCAATGTTACTTGTCTGAAATTGTGTGCTTGATGTGCTATATATAGATAAATTATACATATAATTTGATATTAAAAGTTTTATGTATAAAATAGCAATATGAAATATTAATATATAATAGATATTTTAATATATAAAAAATATAATCACATCTGTGTATGTGTTCCTTTTGGTGGAACCTTTTGATAATGACTGTTACAACAACTGTTTTATTTTATTTATAATAGAATGGTAATGGAATGATAGACAGGGACAACCTACGAAAGTCCTGTTTTCAGCTTAATCTGAATCTAGATGATGAGCTCCTGGATTCCTTATTTGACTGTTGTGATTTGGATAAAGATGGTCTGATTAATTATCTGGAGTTTGCAAACTTTCTGAACTGGAAAGACAAAACGGCTGTTAAAGAGTTTGAAGAAAAGATAATTACAAAAGGTAGATGACTTAATATGGGGAAATTGTGGAGATAATCTTGTTATGACAACAGCTATTGAAAGCTATTGAAAGGACATTGTTGTTGTAGACTAGGTGCTCCTTCAGAAGGATTTAGAGTGCATTTAGTCCTTGTCTACCACCAGCAAAACCTCAGATAGAAATGTATTTCAGAACTCTGGAGTCTGTTGCATGTTGAGAATGTCCCAGAAATCAGGAGAAAGGAAAAAACCTCTTAGACTCATTACCAGAAATGCAGATCGATTATGTTACCTATTTTATAGTTTTTCAAGAATTCAAGCAATGTCTTTTACCTTTTAGTCTATAAAAGCTGATAATAAATCTTGGCTGTACCATAACTTTTGTTTATAGGGAAAAAAATAGATGATCCTGTTGTGCCTGAAGACACAAAGATAAATGATGAGCCAAAGCAGGAAGATCTTGTGCTAAAAGAACCCGGAAGCTCAGAAAAGGCATCAAAAACTCTTACAAGATCAACAGATCATGTATTTGCAAATTATCAGACAACTTCTTCTCAGTATAATGCTGTAGTAGGTGGTCTCCCAACTACCTGTAAGTACAGTGGACTGTACTTCTCACTTCTGAGCATTATTTAAGACAAAATCAGGAACAAGTTTTAAAACTATGCTACAGGTTCTACTGATGTACACTAGTGAATTAATTTATCTCAACTAAGTGTTTAGGATTGTGGCTTGGAAATTGTCATGGCTTGGATGTTTGGCACGATTAATCCATTCAAAACATGGAAGTTAATCTAGATGTCTTTGAGAAATTATGCTGGTAATGTTAGGAGAACAATATCTTTTTGGAATCACCTAAAAATGTTTTCAGCTGGAAGTACTGGATAAGTGCTAGAATATGAATGCAAGATTTCCTCTTGTCATGCTTCATGATGTAGCTGAATCTAGGAATTTTAAAAATATGAAAAAAACAGATGAGGAGAAAAAATATGTAACCTGTTATTGAATCCATGTGAGACATCGAATTTGTTCTTATTTCATACAAAATGTTTTGTCTTCCCTGGCACTATCTTTGCATACAGGCTTTTCCATGCTACCTGTTGATTGATTTCCGTAGGTTATCCAGTGTGCGGTGTTCCAACTGTTCATTCAGATACTCCTGCTTCTCACATTCGCTGCATCAGTGACAGAACTAACTATGGTGATGAGGCCAGTGCTTATGCATTATTGTTCCCGTCTGTCTTTAGTGAAAAGGGAGTGTATGAAAGAGACTTTTTTAAAACAAGACCAAAGGCAGAGGTATAGTGCATTTCTTCAAAATATTCTTCCCATATAAATGTATCTCTAGCCATGTGGGAGTAGAAAGTCATATTATCAGGTAAACAGGCTGTAAAATTCGTTGCTGAAACATTACCATCTTCCTTTACATCCATTCAACTATCTGAAAAATATATACTCTTCATGTTCAAAATTATTCATACAGGTGGTAAGTAATAATCTTACTGAGATTCAATTTCAATAAGTAACATAAGGAAGGACATCAGGCTGTTGCTACTCGCATGCTCAACTGTTGTGTCAAACAGGAGTCTGTAATTAATCTAGGGCTTAAGAGTCTCTGACTCATCATTTCTGCAATGTGAGAAGAGTAAAGCAGTTGTGAAATTTCCATCCTTGCACATATTCAAATTTCTGAGCAAGGTCCCAAGCAACAAGCAACATGACTTAATAGGAAAGTTAGCCCCTGCTTTGATTGTGTGGTTGGATGGATGATCTCCAGAGGTCTCTTCCAACCTAAGTTATTCTATGATTCTATGAGTAGATGTCTTAAGAAGCCCCACAAGAAGATTTTTACAGGTGTGTAAAACTAGTTTCTATAACAGAGGGATGCTCAGTGGAAAATTTTATCCTAGGTGTCTCTCCTCAAACAAACTTGCAGGTGTTGCTAATGGCAAATTCAGCAAACTGCTTGAATATACCATTTAAGTGCTCTGCTGAGTCACAGTTGTAGACTCAGATCTACAAAGAACTTGTACAGTGATAAAGGATAGAGAGGCTCACACACCAGTGCGGTGACACCTCATATTTCTGAAGGACATAAGACTGTAGGGACTTACTTGGGGAATCCATGATTTTTCTATCTGATATCTCTGGGGACTGCTACCACTCTGTTATCTCACAGACCAGAGTTCCTCCCACAAAACAACTTTGCTTCTTCAGTATTGTTTACTCTTTTGCTTCTACATTTGTATGCATTTTCTAGGGAAAAAATATAGAGATAACTTCATTACCTGAAATATAGTTTATGAGACAATTGTAACAAAATGTAAAATTCCACTCTAAAGTGAAAAAAGAAGCCTTGACAACCTCTCCCTCTCTACTAGTCATTATATTAAATATTCAGACACATTTTAAAGTGGATCTGGACCTTGAGTATATATTTTACAGAAAAGAACGTTGCTCGTTAGTGGATGGGGATGTAAAAGGTGTGGGTGTCATGTTCTATACATATCCATAAAACAGTTTGTCAGAACGTTGTCTTCATGAACATTTACCATTTTATAATCTAGCTCTGAAGCAGGAAATCAATGCATGAGAATACAGATAACAGTAAATAGAATTCATGCTTCATTAAGAAGCTCATTATAGCTGTCAAGTACTAGATAGAACTCTTCTCTGAAGTTATATTGTGGACTGAGATGTCATACTCCATTGTAGACTATACAGGCTATAGAGAGTTCAGTACAGAACCACCACTGTGTGTGTTAAATCCCCCTATACTCATTAAATGGATGTTTCAGTATTTTAGTGATCATCTTTGATTTATTGTGATATGGAGCAGTAATATTTTCAAGCGTGTAATGAAAGCCAGAGTCATTTAATACTACCAGTTTTTGTGTAGGCCTGTAGAAATTAATGTGAATTTTGGCTATAAAGAGGTTTCATGAGGTGACTTTTCATGCTACAAAAGACCAAAAGAGTTCTAGGGCCTGATGTTTTCATCACTGGAATTCATCCTAGACTATTGAAGAGAATAGAAGTTATATAACTGAGTAATAGTGTGTAACATATTGACAGGATCATGTTGATACTAGGTAAGGGTCAGTTTAACTCCCTCTTGGCACTCTGTGGTTTAGTCAATGATTATTTTATGGCTGTTGATAAGCCAGGACAGAGTTGTATTTTAATATGGTGAAGCCAAGTTATAAGAGCATGTAGGCCTTTATTGTCCCTACAGTGGTATCCTGTAATGGAATATTGCTTTTAGTTTAACTTCTAAATTTCACTAGCTTGTTGAAGACATTAGATCAAATCTGGTTTGTTTTCCTCGTGAGTAATATTACTGATTTAACTGAAACAACACCTTAAAAGTGCTTAAAGCAACAAAATTTAGTCCATGTTTTCTTTCTGTAATTTCAGATGGCATTAGCTGCCATAGATGAAGCTGCATATTTGCTGTACTGTGGATCAGGCCTATATTTATACAAAAGAGTTTTAGAGAAAGATGTCAAACAGTGTTGATTTGACTGTGTTAAAGGTCTTTTATTAAAGCATGCATAAAATCTCCAGAGCATAAATATAACACACGTGCACACACATGATACAAGTCGAGAAGTCAAATGTTTGCTAATACTAACAAAAACACAAATTATGTCAATATTCTTCTAAAGCCACCTTCCTCTGATGAATCAACAGGTCTGTGTAATGAGGCATGAAGCAGCAAGCACCCAAGTGAGAAAATCCAGGAAAAAAAAAATTTCTGCTGGATTACCTTGGTGTAAAACTATAGCAAGACCCAAAGTTGATGTGAACCATTTCATTTTAGTCACTTCACCCAGTTATGTATTGCAACTGAAGATCTTGCATATACTATTCTTGCTGTGAAATGCAGACAATAATATAATCTGATTTATGTCGATAACTGCAAACCGTAAAAATACAGTGGATAAACAGGACTTGATTTAGGGCTTTTAAAAAATGTTTACTTTGCCCTGAATTTTCTGGTTTTGATTTTTCCAATGTTGAAGTTGCATCAACATTAACTTATTAAATAAAGACAATTTTGTACACCACAGCTTTTATCCCTCTAAGATTCAGATTTACTTAAATAAGAACTTATTTGGTTAATGATGCAGGATGTGGTCTGCAGAGTGGGAAAATATTCTTTGGCAGATAGAGATTGCTAATATGTGTAAAAGCCAGATCCTACATAGTTTAAGGAAGATGCTGACCGGAATTACATAAATTGTATTATTTTGTAGATTGCAGAAATTCTCCACAACATTGGCATGAACATTTCAGATGAAAGGTTTGAAGAGATATGGAAGCAAGCCTGTATGAAACATCACAAGGAAGAGGTTTGTGTAGAAAGCATCAAGAATGTACTGGATGAGATACATGAATCACACACAGAAACCAGTTGCTAATTCTACTCTTTAGGCATTGCATTTAATTGACACCAGTCATAATTCTGATGCTGAATACAATAAACATTTTCAATAACGTGTTTATAGAACTGTAATTCACTGTTTATTGTCTTTCTGAATAGTGGGTTCACCACATATGTATGAATCCTACTGCTGTCATTGCAGTTAGTAGTAACTGATATCCATAGGAATAAAAGAGGATAGAGCATGTCTTTATTTTATCTTTTTATACAGTGTTTCTAAGTCAAAATAGTAATACTTTAAGCATGGACACATTTTGCATTTTCGGAATTTTTTTTTCCTCTTACAAATGGAAGGACACTTTTGAAAGTACTTAAGATAAATGTTTCAGATATGCAAGATCTCTTAAAGATTACTGTCACAGAATGGCAGCTTGCCTTGTTTCTAATGTTCCATAACTTAATGTCAACAAAATGGTAGCTAACAGAGATCTGGTTGTGGTAAATGATTTGACATGTTTAAAAATTTGTGTAAGTGCTTTACACTAAGATACTAAGGAAACTACATAGTCATAGGTGTAGGATCAAAAGTGTTGTCATAAAATAGACTCCATAAGAACCAGTGGATTAAGAAGTGCAAAAATAAATGGCCAGTTGTGTGCCAGAGGGCTCATATTCTTTATGCAAGCTTACGGCTATTAGGTAGTAGTATTCAGCTTTCACAAACAAGAAGAAAAACTAGATATTTAGAGGTGTATGTGCACATGACATAAAAACATAGGCTAGGTAGTCAGAAAAATGTGAGAAGGGTTTCAGAGAGTTAACCTTTCACCTGTGACCAATGCAATTTCTTGGGAGGAGGCATCTTCATAAATGAAAATCACTTGAGGATCATTATGGAAATGTCATTAAATATATATGATGTCTAATAAGAATAAACAATGGAAAGCAAGTGTCGTGGTTCGAGCCTGGTCAGCAGCCTATCACCCCACAGCTGCTCACCCACCCTCCCCCCCAACCTGGGAATGGGGGAAGAATCGGAGGGGTAAAGGGAGACTCTCAGGCTGAGATAGAAACAGTTTAGTAACGGTAATAAAATGAAAACAATGACAGCAGTAGAAAATACAAACGGGCAATGCACAGTGCAATTGCTCACCACCTGCTGACCAACCCCCAGCCCGTTCCCGGCCAGTGACCCCGAAATGCCAAGATCCTGCAATCGCAATCCCAGAAGCGAGAGAGGAGAGCGCCCCTTCCTGATCACCCCCCCCTCTCTATAGTGAGCATGACGTTCCATGATATGGAATATTTCACTGGCCAGTTTGGGTTTGGTGCTCTGGCCGTGCTCCCACCCCGCTTCTTGCGCACGGGCAGGACACGGGGAGTCAGAGAGTCCTTGAAGTCTCAGTAGCAGCCAAAACACCAGTGTGCTATCAGCATTCTTCTCATACCAAACCCAGTGCTGAATCCAAAACACAGCACTCTTCTAGTTACCAGAAAGGAACATTATTCCAGCCCAAACCAGGACAGCAAGTAATACTAAAATCTGCAACTGTGAATCAGAACGTTCACTCTTCACCTACAGTCCTGATTTTGCTGTAAAACATGGAAATTGTTCAGTATTGACAGCGAGAATGATTACTTTTAGACTTTATCAAATTAATTGAAAAAAATCCTTGCCCAATGTAATCTTAACATAGAGGATTTCAGGAAGGATTTCACTTTGTCACCTGCTAGTACTTTAAATACCGTAGTAAGATTTGGCGGTTGTTGCCAGCCACAAGTTTTACTGAGTTCTACAATGTAAATAAAAGTTCTATATATCTTAAATACTAGGAATGCAGCTTAAAATTTCATTGTGATGCTTTACTCACATGACAGTTAAGATTCCCCTTTTGCCAGTGTACTAGCAGCTTGTAATTTACTATCTTGTTATGTGAGATCTGCAAGCCAGACTCTTCTGTACATTATTACTGTAGCATTAATAGTAGCTCTCTTACATCAAGTAGAAAGAATTTGCTTTCTGCTATCTCCAGGGAGCAGGTGGAAATGCTGCTTGATAAAGGCAGCTTCTTTCCTGCTCTCAGTGAGTTGTGTGCTGTTGTTGCCTTGTCTTCCCAACTTCTGGAACTCTGTGCACACACTGGGAAGCGTGCAGGAAGCAGACTGTGACTGTGACTGCTACGTAGAATCATGACAGAAAGATTAATGTACTGCTAATTTCAAGTGAATGTATTGTGTCAGGATTTCACTACCTCCAGTGAAATTCTCTAAAGCTCTTCTTCTGCTCATATAAGGTGGGAGGGAAGAATCTTTTACCTTTGTTGCAGTGTGCTTCCAAAAGCATTGGATAGAATTACTTTGAAAACAATAATACCATTTTTCTCCTTCAACAGAAGAGTTTAGACGAAAGTTTAAAGCTCACTTCAGGGAAAAATGAAAAAAAGCCAAACCACAGACCTCTCTCTCTCTCTGTGTATATATATGAGATCTGTTGTGTTTGTTCAGAAGCTGGAAATTCTGTGTACGCTATTTTTTAAATCTACTGTAAAGACACCCACTTTCATTCCTCTACTTTCAGTAAAATCTTTCCCTTTGTCAGTGAAATGGAATTAACATTGTTCTTGAACAGTCTGCTGAATAAGTCCAGAATAAAGAAGACTGATAAATCACGCTTTACTTTTTTGCCAGTATGTTTTTAACCACAGACTAAAGGTTTCCTTTTGAGCTCGGGTTTGAAATTAACTGGAAGTGGTATTCACCTAAACTTACCTCTTCTGAAACTTTAAAAGATTAATCACTGAACAGAGCTGTAAATTCTGCTTGTAGGGGCTTGTTACTTCTGTGGAGTTTCCCAGTTCTTTTGTTTCCTTTTGTTAAATGCTTCATTCACACAGAGTCTTGGTGCAGATTTTTGTATTTAATTTCTGTCTGACTTCCCAACACATGTGAAGTCAATGGCCTATTTATAGGCTTTAGAGCTGCAAGTTGTGTTCTGTGATTTTTACGGTTCCTTTAACATATTCCAACTGACAGAGGTTAAAAAGTTTGCTTTCTTCAAAAATGCAGTGTGATTGCCTTTATCTAGATATGGAGTGGATTTAACCAGAACAGCACACTACCTTTCACTAATGTGTGGGCTGTATCCAAGGTGAAGTTTTCCACAAAGAGCTAGAAAGGGTTAGCAAGACAACCTTCACTATGACTCGAAAGCCATGTGTTCTAAGAGAAAACATACAAATTTAGAGCTTGAATGAATTTATTCTGTTAACAGTTACATTTAAAAAATCACAGACGTTTTAAATATGTTTACTGAGGCTTTGTGGACAAAACTAGTAAACAGCAAATCCTGACAAAGGGAAATATTTTGGTGAAAATCAGTGAGTTCTAGACATTTTGGTCCAAATTTTCGTAATAGAATTTTTATAGACACTAGATAAGAAACACAGCACATTCAGATGTTTGTGCACTATTTCTTCATTAATCTCTGTTTCACTACTATGATTATTCCAAAGAATAGCATATTTAATAATTATGCATTTTTAATCAGTTCTGTCAGATGAATTGAACTGCTCTTAAGTTCATCCTGGAGCAGATGCTTTGGTTTCCAGGGACAGAGCAGGGAGCTCTTCCTTTCCACAGAGGTAGAGGCCAATGTTTTCTTCTCCCCAAAAGCCATGCCAGGGATACTGACTGAATACCTGAAAACACTTACCTGTAAAAGACAAGGCTGAAGATTTGAACGTGCAAAATTATTTGTTATTCATTCTGTATTTCTGGCTCTTAATCTTTAGATGTGAATATTATCACAGATAAGCGTACAGCTAATATGATTTATTTGGCAGTGACTTCTACTATGTAAGGCAGAGGTTGGACTCGATTATTCTTTTTACTGTTATCTAATGGAAAAACAAAACATGCCTGTGCAATGACTTGTGTTTGAGATGCTGGAAGATCCAGCCCACCATCTCTCATAGAAGCATATGTACAAATAAATGTAGAGCTCACCTTGATATTATTACTACATATCTTTAATATATGTCTTAAAAAGATTTAAGTTTGTTTGTTTGTTTGTTTGTTTTCCTCCAGTAGATTAAGAATTTCTAGTTTTCAGTGATTTTACCAGACTCAAGTAAATTTCCTGGTCCTGGGACTCAGAAGTGAATGATCAGTTTTGTTTGGTTGGTCCTTTTTGGTTCTAAACAACTGTATGTAATTATTTGGGTGCTAAATGGAATGCTAATAAGCCTTTGTGCTAAGAAGAATTCTTCAAATGGATGTCTAAGCAGAAAAGGAAGTATTGGGGCACAGTGCCCAGAAATATGATTTAAGTCTTCATGTTGCCAACAGATATGAATAGGTAGGATGTTTTTGGAATGGCTTATGCAGCCTAATTAGTTGGTGTTTGCCATTAGGAGGTATTTCTTTGGAAACTACTTATTTGCATTTGATAGTCTATCACTGGGCACCATCTGCCTGCATGGTTTCACCTTGCTGAATGGCCAGAATCCTTTTCTAGCAGATGGGTATGAGTTTAGGCATGCCAAAGAAACACTAAATGCTGCATGGTTGTATAGCTGGGATAGGATCTGTATTTCTTTATTACTCTTTATATTAATTTGGAAAATGCCAACATAGATTATGCAAACCTGCAGGAAAGATTTTGGCATCTTTGATTAGGATTAATCTGCAAAGGGAAAGGCAGTTAAAACAGTCTTCACTGTGTCCTGATTTGCTCAGGTAGGTGGTTGTTGATTTCTGCCAAATGTGTGTGGCCTCTCTGAGCAAGCTGGTGTAGCTGGAGAACTTGTGCATCCCATCATAAAGGGAGACATGGACAACCCCATATACACTTTGCTAAAAGTGTGTGTCCCCCCGGGAGCGACAAGGCTGAATGCATACAAATATTTAGGGCTATTTTTTGCTAGAGAGCAATGAATTTAAGATAAGAATGTAAAGAGTATCTGTTTTGTCTAGCCCAGTGCCCCATCTGACAAGTGGTCAAAAACATGATTAGGGAGAAGTAGCGGATCAGGGCAAACATTATGATGTTTCTTCCTAGCTGTCTCCCAGTGCTTACTGTCTTCAGGAAGGAACGACAGACCTCTCTGAAAAAAAAAGCACAT